TAGGGAAGACCTTATCCCCATGTTCCAGTATTTAAAGTTTGGCTACAGAGAAGATGGAGACTCCCTTTTTACAAGGAGTCACATGCAAAAGACATGATAGGTACAAGTTCCTGCTGGGGAGGTTTTGACTGAGCACAAGAGGAGAATTTTTCACAACAAGAACAATCATCCATTGGACTAATCTCCCCAGAGAAGTGGTGGGTTCGACTACATTGGAAACATTGTAGATCCAGCTGGACAGGGTTCTGGGTTGTTTTGTCTAGACTGTACTTTTGCCAAGAAAGGTCCCTTTCCACCTTGGTATTCTGTTATTTTATTATTTTTACACACATAAATTGTACTAGGAGCAGGGCTTGTGTTCCTGTGCCCTGTGAGTACAAATGAACACCAGAGGTAAGGTTCTTTACTTTCCAGCCTAGCGTAAGCTGACCTCCAGGCCATGCTCTCTGCTGTATTTCGTTCACTGGCAAGATACTTTTCTCCTGGCTCTGTGCACTCCATTCAGTGCCTTCCTCCATCTTCCCCCGGGGACCCTTCATAAAACAAAACCATATGCCCCCATGATGGTTTGTGCGGTCCACAAGCAACTAGAAACCTATTTCTCTTTCTTCAACATTTTGCTTAAGATCCTCTTGTTGCAGAGGCTGCAAGAGAAGAGCTTGGTGATATGGATTTGATGAAGCTATTGTCAGTGTTCCGTTTGGTGTTATCACCCTTGTGCCCTGTGTTCCATTTCTGTGTGTCTTGCCTGAGAAACATGTTGTCAGGTATTGGAGGTAGGAACTGTGTGCAGAGTTGCCAGGCTCTGTGGTAGTGCAAATAAATAACCCAAGCAAGAGAGCTGCGGGCAGGAGAGCCCCAGGGGCTGAGCAGCAGATACAGGAAGACAGGAATATAAGCAGTTATGCTTAAACTTCTGTCAAAGGAGCAAAAAGAGATGTAAGGAACAGGTGGTCAGGCTCTGCCCCATGGACACTGGAATGAATAATCAGCGCTGAGAATTTACTGTGTTTTTTCCCCTTGTGGATTGTCTCACCACTGACTGACCTGTAAGTGGGTTTTGCTCAGTTTGGCAGTTGTTTTCACACGTGTTCAGTGTAGACCAAGGCTACCCTGTTAGCCATAGAAACAGCCCTCTGGCTTTTTTTGTGCTGCATGAAAACAATTTTATGCCTCCTACAACTCCTTTCTACCTGACCGGAGGTTGTAGCCAGGTGGAGTCAGTCTCTTCTCCCAGGCAGCTAGTGACAGGATAAGAGGACATAGCCTCAAGCTGTGCCAGGGAAGGTTTAGGTTGGACATTAGGAAGAATTTCTTCACAGAAAGGGTGATTAGACATTGGAATGTGCTGCCCAGGGAGGTGGTGGAGTCACCATCCCTGGAGGTGTTCAGGGAGAGACTGGACATGGCTCTTGGTGCCATGGTCTAGTTGACATGATGGTGTTAGGGCATAGGTTGGACTTGATGATCACAGAGGTGTTTTCCAATCTGTCTGATTCTGTGCTTCTTAGGTCAGAGGTGGAAGAGCACAGAGATTGCTGAATCATTAGCATCACATTTAACCATTGCATCTGTTTAATAGCAGAGCATGACTTTCCAAGTAGCATCACAATCTCGCCTGCCCTTGCTACTTCTGCTATATCTTACCTTGTTCTTTCCACATGGATTTTTTTCCTTCCTGTCCCTCTCCATCCACGTTCCCAGAAGCAGAGACAGGTGGTTCTTTTACAGAGGTGTCTAGCTGCAGGTAGTTGAACAGTTAAATGCTTTGGTTTGCTGGCTGCTACTTTAGGCAATGGTTTGCTCTGTTCATGGGTGGTAAAGCATCATCTGTCTGATGTGTACAAGCTGCAGGAGTCATTGAGATGAGCTCTGGAGCCTGTGACTGTCTCTTCTGCAGTTACTGTGAAGCAGGAGGCGGAGCTTCTCTTGAACACTCCTTTCTGGGCAGATTAGGACAGTCAGGAAGAGACTCTGAGCAGCTCAACCATTGCTCTGGGTATTAGAGCTTTGAGCTGAGTATGTGGTGAGCAGTCTGTGTCGCTCCACTTGCCATTAGCATGAAGTCCAAGGAGTAAGTTTCTGCTGTGGGTATGCTGAATTGGCTTGACAGAGTAATCTTTATTCACTTTTCCTGGCAAGCAGGAAACAGTTATTAATGACATAAGAAATGCTGATAAATATTAGTGATGGTGCTAAGAGGCACATGACAAACTTTCTCTTGGCACTGAAATGGAGTAGTAGAAGGGAGGCTTGGTAGTGAAAGTAGTACTTTCTTCCTTTATTAGCAGGGCCATTATATAGGACTCACAGTTACCTATCTGAAATCAGGTGACCCAGTCAAATCCATAGTTAAGGTTGTTCTCCAAATTTTGTCTTCATCTGTGAGAAAACAGATGCAGTTTATCAAATTATGGGATGTAGTCAATATTTCTCCAAGAATTTTACGTACTTTAAAACAAAGGTTTATAATTCTGTAATGTCCTGATGACTACATTTGGCAGCAGTGCTGAAGCCTTCTGATGGGCTGAGTTTTGGGGCGTAAATACCAGTAGCTTTCAGGAGCTGTTCAGAGCTCTAGTTTTGGTAAAAAGAGATGGATGTATCTTCTTGTAACTCAGCCATCAGCCAGGTTTGCTCTTTAAGAGGTTTGTGAGTGATTGAATGATGAACTTGAAAAACTTCTGTGTTGGCAGCAACTACATTGTCATTTCAGACCTGGATTCCTAAATCAGTGATGGTGATTTTTACCTACAAAAGGCCTTGTGATCATTAGAGAAAATGGCAAGTGGGCCATGCCAATGTACAGTCAGAAAGACACACTGTGTGGACATACTGGTTGCACAGAACAGGAAACTAGTGATGAATAGAGGAGAAGGAACTGCTGGTGTTTAGTTTGAAATGGCTGCAGGGCTCAGCAGGGTGAAAGCACAGCTTATCCAGGTCTGTCCAAGATAAAGCAATACTTTTATACCTACTGTAGTTTGGCCAATCAGCCAGGAAACACTGCATAAAATTTGTCACTGGTTCTTGAATGTAAGCAGTGATGAAATCCCTTCACAGAGAACGGATATCACTCACTAATGGATTTTGCGGCCCCAAAGAATAATGACATTTAGTTCATTCATGCCCATGGTGTTGTGTCATCGCTACAAAAACGCTGGAGGAAGGACTTTCTTTTGTGAAATGTCTGGCATTTGTAGACATTAATTTTAGACAGTTGGACGGTGGTTTTTGCATTTTGTGTAGATTAACTGCTTGATAGCTAGGACTGAGCTCTTTGTTCTCAGGGAGGAGGAGTTCTTGCATCTGCCTGAATTTCTGTGCACAAGCAATTAAAGGAACCTAATCTACTGCAGGATAGGCTGCTCTGACTAAATGAAAGAAGATGTGAACAAGTCTTTATAGCTGTTTTTGGTGTTCTCTTAGTACAAGGAAGAAAAAAAAGACTGTAGGGCACAACTTTCAGCTCACTTTTAGCAAGTGGCAGCACTTTTAGTACCTGTTTTCATTAAGGTGCCAGGTTGAATAAAATGCTTTATAGTGCAGGAAGAGTTAAACAGAAATATTTATGGAATCTGGAAGGCTGTGTTCATTTTATTCACTTTCTGAAGAAACTAGACATAGAGATGCTGGAGTGTGCCTAGAGAAGGGTAGTGAAGCTGGTGAAGGGTCTGGAGCAACAAGTGCTACGAGGAAAGGCTGAGGGAACTGGTTATGTTTAGCCTGGAGAAGAGAAGACTCAGGGGTGTCCTTATCACTGCTTGCAACTACCTGAGAGGAGGTTGTAGCCAGGTGGAGATCAAGCTCCTCTTCCAGATAACAAGCAACAGGACAAGAAGACATACATAATCTCAAGCGGCATCAGAGTAAATTAGGCTGGACATGAGGAAGAATTTTCTTACAGAAAGGGCAATCAGACACTGGAATGCGCTGCCTAGGGAGGTGGTGAAGTCACTATCCCTGGAGGTCTTTCAGGAGAGAGTGGACATGGTACTTAGTGCCATGGTCTGGTTGACATGGTGGTGTTAGGTCACAGGATGGACTCAATGATTTCTGAGGTCTTTTCCAACCTCAGTGATCCTGTGATGTGTGCAGGGATGTTAATGTGACTTTTAATTTCCTTAATCAAGCTCTTCACTGCTTAGATAGGGACTGAACCTCAAAGAGGAGAAAACTATGAACACGAGAGACAACCAGATGGGCAAAACATCTAGTCTGAGCTTTTTGCTCTCAGCCCAAGGGTGTTCAGGCAGTTTAGCAAGGTGGGGAGTGGAGACTTTTGCTCCTGCATCCCTAGCAAAGTGCTTTCATTCTGCAACAGTCAGTTGTCTGTTTGGAGGATCCCAGTGTTACCTGTGCACTGGTCATGGACACTTAAATCCATTCAAGACTGACTCCAGAATCTCTCCATTATGAGAGCAGCTTACTGGACTGGCAGTATAACTTTTCTACTATGTCCCAATGAGACCAAACAAGCAGAATCAGGTAGAGATTTTTTTCAGGTTATTTTTTCCAGGCAAGAAAATCAGTGTAGGAAAAATCCAGAGGAAAGAAGGCAAAAATGGTTATGATGAATGGCTGAATAAAGCTGGATGAGTGCTAGCTAAACACAAAATCAAAAGTGGATGTAAATATTCCTAAGTATTTGAAAAGTGCAAGCACAAGCAGTAGGTAGAGATGCTCAAATGTCTTGCAAGCTCCATATGTGTGTGAAAACCAAGGATGTAGAAGAAATACAGAGATTAAAATTAGGAACTAGGCCATTATCATACAAAATAAGCCTTTCACAAGACAAACCACAGAGTAGCTCCTAGTTAAAAGACTCCATGGTGTATACTAGAGAACAATCAGTAAAGGAAGTTTGGATGGAAGAGGAGACCAACCTTCCAATCTCGGTGTTTAGCAGTGGGTAGTGACCGCAGTAACCATTACTACATGTGCCGCATTTGGTGTTTAACTAACTGTTTGTTAAACTTCTTTCTTTTCTTTATTTCTAGGGCTCTTCCTTATCTTAGGCTTGATACTTTACCCTGCAGGTTGGGGATGCCAGAAGGCAATAAACTATTGTGGACCTTATGCTTCTGCTTACAAACTAGGAGACTGCTCCTTGGGCTGGGCTTTCTACACAGCCATTGGTGGCACCTGTCTGACGTTCATCTGTGCAGTCTTGTCGGCGCAAGCTGAAATAGCCACATCCAGTGACAAAGTGCAAGAAGAAATAGAAGAAGGAAAAAACCTTATCTGCCTCCTTTAACTCCAGTGGGGAAAAAAATCACCAGTGCCTGGATCTTTGTCTGCTTTCCATTGACTGGACAAGCAGATCCACTTACCTGTTCTTACCATTTGTGTGATTGAGCCCCATGCATTCCAGCCCCGAACTACTGAAAGGGTCTTTTTCCTTGCTGGGCAATGAGGATCAGAGAAAAGATCGCAAGAAAGCAGAATGTAAATACTTGGGGATATTTTTTAGTTTCATTCTGTGATCAGGACACAGTGGAATATACTAATCTGACTGGGG